ATGACTGTCTCATAGTATGCATTGAGTGCAGTGTAAACACATCACTTGAAGCAGTAACCGGTTTTCATTTTGATTGACACATGCACTGATGATACTGCAAGTTTTAATATGAGTTTGGTGCTTCAACCAGTGGCCATTCAAATCAACTCTTTGGTGCATTGTGTTTGAATAGGCAATGGATGGAAAGGTAAAATGCAAATACCATCTACTGGGCCGAATGGTGTGAGGCATACAACTGCAGCCTAACACGTAGTACCTCCATCTATGTTTACATGACATACTTCTCCAACCACATATGTGATCATAATGCACACCACCAAGTCAAGTGCTGATATTCACTAACACTTATTCCTAGTGGAACATGTAAGTTAATTATCGCATCTTAAGGACAAAATGGCAAAGTCATGCTGTTCACCACCTCTGCCATTACTATTAGGGTAGCAGTAAATATTCCGCATTTCAATTCCTAATTCATTCGGCACGTCAGCAACATTTCACCAAAAGCCACGTTTTACCTTTTTTTATTTCAGGGGAAAAGAAAGACATCAGTCAACTTCCGAAACACTTCCATTGGGGTGAAGTGGGGCCTCACACAATTGAGTTAGAATGGGAAGTCGAAAAATTAAGTTCAAACTACGCGGACTCAATTGCACTAATTGCAGAGCCAGCTTCTTCGGTTGCTTCACCCAAACGTAAAGAAGAGGATTTTGAGCTTGGGAAACTCGCTCTTGATGGTTTATATCCTAAGACATTATATAATGTGACTATGGAGGTACTCAGAAAACACGACCTTCTTAAATCGTCAAAGGGACAAATTGAAACAAAGCCCACTGGTAAGGCAGTAGGCTTGATCATGATGTGCATCTTCATTTCGAATTGATGACGTGTCTATTTACTTAGGAACGGAAAAAAGCGTTGACACAACTAGTGCATCTGCCTTAACCTCCGTAATCTCTGCACTAGTGTTTGTTTGCATCGCAGTAGTCCTTGCTTGAGCAGTCGCGCAAGTCAGTGCATACTAGCAAATTCCCTATTTACATCCAAAATCAAAGCCAATTGCTTGGTTACAGCAAGTTTATGCTTTCTTTATTATAGGCTTCCGTGGCACAGGCAAGGCAACATCAACACCAGTGTAACTTCTCTGATTGGGTGACTCCTGATAGAAAAATAAAGGAATTTGTTATGTTCATTTTATTTTTGTCACGCTTGCTTCAGCTATTATGGCTCGAAAAATGGTTCATGACTTGGAATGAAATGCGGCTATACTCTTGTGCTTTATATAAAATTACCTTCACAAATCGCCTAATTTTTATGCAAAAGAGGTCCCACTTTAACATAAAGTTTAGTTCTGTCATATGCGAAAGGTCAAAACCTCAGCTACTCGGATCATCTGGTTGGCATTTCATCAAATATTACACCAATGGCAAAACTCGCGCCAGAGCCTGCATTTACATTCCAGTTTAGAGCAATCCTGGGCCTTAATTTTTGCTCGTAGTCGGTGGTCCATTAACCAAGAAGAAAAGAGCCACGCATGCGTCATTTAATATCCACACCATGTGAATTTAATTGGCCTCTATTCCGATAAATGGAATTTCTGCCACTAGGTGCAGTTTCCACTCCTTTCTAAATTCACCTATGCAACAAAAATCAGAAAGGCGTTGAATTCCTCAATTCTATTTTGTGGTAGTAAAAGATGGCTGTTTTGGGGTTGGAGGAGGAAAATCTAGTCTGTAAGGTGTCATTAAATTCGTACCCCTTTAACTATTGTATATTAGCTAACAGCTTTGCGTCAACTCCGTTTAATTTTAAAGGGCTTTAGATGGCCCATAATTTCTTTAATCTTAGTCTTGACGAGTGTAATTTGGTCGCAACTTTCATTCATTTTCTCTGAGAGGTCAGAGGTTAAAACTGTATTTTTGCATAAGGCTAGCACTAGGCATTCCCACGAACAAACTGTGCAGCTTTGACCACTCCTCCAGGATACTTTGTCAAGCCAAGGTGTGGAAGACCAACAAACAATTGATAAATGGATATGGTGTGTAGAGGTCCAGCTACCCCTACATATGCACTCCAACATACTGATTGACTTAGTCTAACCTGTAGTAAATGGCTAACTGTGAAGTTAAAACAAGACCGTTTTCTAGGGATTTCAGTAATGATATTGCGGTGAATGTTGAAGTGCTATGTCCACCACTCATATATTCATCACTGGTTTTGCCAAGTTGGGGAGACAAATGCGAGAAAAAAGAGTAGGAAAAGGTGTCAAGACAAAGACATTGCGAAAAGGCGGTATAATCAAACTAAGGTCAACTTTTATTCACATTGCAATTACCCATTTCTAACGGAACATCATATAAAAGAGATGATATTCGACGCCGCAGAGTAGTGCGATATGATTGCAATACGATTCTGAGGCAGGACCCAAATTCGGGCAACAATATTTGAAAAATTCAAAATTTTGCTTCATTTTTATTCCAACTTAGCATCTGTAAGGAAGCATGTGTCCAGTCGCTTGATCTCAAAGGATTCCTGGTTTTCTTTATTCTGCTCAGGTTACCCCTACTTATATATCTCACAATTTTTGCTTAGTGAGGTGCTCCTTCAACAGTCTCTATTTTTCTTTAATAAATATATTCACTCTACCCAAAGACTGAAAATGGCCTATTTTGGATGTGTAAAGAAAGGCCATAGAGATTGAGCAATGGTTGAGTAGTTAAATAAATAAATGAGTGACTGGAAGATTTATTTAGTGGATGAATGAATGTTTCTTGGCTGAATAAATGAGGAAATGGGTTGAGAAAGGTATGCAGCAGCCATCACTAGATCACCATTCCATCTTCTAATTTGTTTTCCACTTCGAATGCTCATATATTCCTACCGTTTTCATTTTCTGACATATGTTTCTTACAATTTTACTTATTAATTTCTATATTCATTCGAACACGTTATTGGAGTAAATGAAAAATATTGCATATGCAAGGGAACTTCATTGTTAACTAATGGATGGATAAAGTAATAGGATGGGGAACGGTATGGTCTTTTATGGTTGCCATAGTCTGTGAAAAATTAAAACGTAAATTTGACAACATGTGACACTAAAAGAAAATTTGTGAATGCTAAAATGTAAGTTTGCATGAATGAACTTCGGATAAATTAATAATATATACCTCTCTATGCAAAAATATTACAATCATATCTTTGAATTAAAAATGTTGCCATTCACCTCGCTTTTGATTTAAACAACCTCTATTTGGGTCACATTTGTCTCTCTACTCAATACTTACTGATACATAAATTTATGAGCGAACTTATAATAAATCTAACAACTTCGTGGTGGTAAGAAGTAGGGCCTGACTTCATGATAATGATTGAAGTATAACATCTGCTGTTTACTTTTCACTGTAGTTGCTGCAGTAATTACGCTAGTAATCAGTATTTTGCTCATTAAACACGAAACCCTGTTTCAGGTCTCAGTTTGAACCTAAATACTGGTACAAAGATGTAGGTATCATCAATTCTATGAAATCTTGAGCAAAATGCTGCTCTAATTTTGATAATTGTATCTGGTACTCTCCTTCCTTTAGACGTAAGTTAACTAAAGGAAATCCACTGACATCATTGACAAAAAATAAAGGCCTTTCCGGAGCCTTTAAAATTGGTACTTAAATAAATAGCGATGTTAAATTAGCCATGTATTTTCACTACATAAGTAAAATAGCACATATTTGTTGGACCTCTTATGCATGAAAAAAATTCACCCGTCACTAAACTAAACTAGTTGAAGTTCAGAAGTTTTGCCTCGTTTTATCCCGCGATAGAATCACATTCTGAGTGTGTGCCACTTCCAAATTGCAGTGGTGTAAGTTCCAGTGAAAGGACGAGCAGTGTTTATCGTAGAGAAAAACCAGTTAGATTGCACGAAAAACATGGCACAGCTTATTTTTCTTCTTTTG